TACTTCCTATTTCCGTTTATCAATACACTCCAATGACCTTAATTAAGTGGTGTCCTTATTTATAGTTTTTAATCCCTTTTCCCCTCGTGTATCTATATTTGCTATGTTTCACGTTATGGTGTTGATAAGTGATTAATACTTTATAAATCAAACTCAACAACATTATTTCGACTACATATCCCCTTTTCCTGAAATCTTATACATATTTTCTTGGACTCGGACAATTTATTCGTTATTGATGATATATCAATTCAATGAATATTTTAATTATATATTTTATTTAAATATGGTTGCTTATGGATTTGAAAATATAATGCATTCAGGTCAATAGCATAACTGAAACTGTGAAAGATCTTAATGTCGTTGATCTTATTCTATATTATATCTATGTCAATGTATTTATACATAAACAGGACTTTATACATAATATGATGACCATTTTGTATTTCTTTATTCCATTTAAATGTGATTTGAATAATGCGCTATATAAAACAGTATTATACACGACGATTTCGTAGATACGTATTTGGCTATCCAGGTCGCTATTAGACAAAAGTGCTTTTATTCATTCAAAGTTATGCATACAATAAAAAAAAAACGCTGACATTAACGTGTACTTATCTCGGTGTATTACTCATTTTTACAAATACAACGGCAGATTTGGAACAACAATTTACAATGAATCAGAACTAATTAAATCATCGAAGAGAAGTGCTAAAATTTCAAAATACTCGAGCGTTTGACGTAATAACCGGTGTTTTCTTATGATGTGGTCTACCGCAGCCCACAGATGAAGTTAAATACGTGTCCGTGTAGTGTATTTGCTTGCGGCGCCTGTCAATTCAATTTAGCCGCAATTGTTTGATATGTGTAAACTATAATGTTACAAGAATACATGTGAATACGCAACCCTGATACCAGTAATCTCACCACAAGCCTTCACACACAAATGTCGCCGTACAAACCACCTGGAACAAAGCCACCGAATCACTACGATTGGGTTCAAGTAGTAAAAATCAGCAATCAATTCGTAATCTTTTACAATACTATTGGTATAGCCCGTCGTCTATTACATTGTTTACGTACAATACGAACACTGTGGATGATCGAGGGATATTTAAATATTTGTCGATGTAGATCACGCTATACCTACTACGATCAGACCACGAGTTGTGTCTAGATACCCCGAACCTTAGTCTACTGCTGTCGCGATCAGCTTTGTTGTTATTACTAATAGCCTATTGACGTCACGAAATCCCGAGTATGTAAAAATACCTGTACGTATTCTTGGGGTGTGGGAGTTCCGTTTGATTGACAGCTGGAAAATACTAGTCATTGATAAGTAGGGTTATGGTTTTAACGTTACCCTGCTACTTCAAAAACACACCAAAACTTCCGAGTCCTATTACACGTGTGTATTTAAATACAGGATCGTAGCATCATGTTGGTTATTTTACGTTTGCTTTCTTAACAGACAGGTCGTACCTTACTGATTTTATTTGTAAGTATCTTACATTTTATGTACTCGTATGTAATTCGTATAGATATATTTCATTATTAATAATGAACATTTTCTTAATTATATATTTATATTTTTATATTTTTTTGCTAGATAGTATTATATGTTCATTTGATCTTTACTATATCATGCTCATATATTTATGGGGTATTCCATCATGGCTGGATAAGAATAGTTATTTGTCGTACATTTTGTATTTTTAACAACAGTTTTATTTTCACTGCTAGAAATACTGTGTATGTGCCTTATTGACAATAACTTCATGTTCATTACTCGCATAACATATACCTGCAAGGGATAGATTGTACAGAATGATATATTACAGACTTTAAAATCGTGCATCACATAGGATCAAAAGATGTTGACAATTGCCGATATATTAGATAAAGTACTGTTGCATGTAACTACTGTGTCCTGTATTTTCAATATCTGTTATCAATATCTCCTTTGACAATATGAGATTTAACCTTGTCGTTGAACCTTTTCTATTCGCACATCATGTATTCATTTTGCTTACATTAATTTTCTCTACAAAAGACGCACATTAAGTGTTTCTATATAGAGAGCTCGTTTTAAAAAGCGGGTTAACTGGGGGATATTCATTTCGATTGGTTAAACGCGGAAGAAAACGTCTCTTAATAAATGTTTCTATTCAAACATGTTGACAAATACTGAAAATATATATTTACGAAATAAACAGTAAGAAGGTCATGTATCGGTCAATATTTTGTCAATTGTTCTGACAAATAGCTTCGTTCACGCGCGCCTTTTTAATGACTCGTTTTGATGTGATATGAGGTTTTAAATGCGTTGGCACACCATGGTTCCATATTATTTCTAAAGGAGTAAATAGAAATATCTTTTTTCACACTAAAACTAATTTAATTTGATTTAATCTGCTTCAGCTATTTTATAGACTTTAATGTGTTATAAGGTTGAGAACGTGCTGACACGTTAATTAAATGAAATAAGCGTAAGGCAAACCATTTACTTAATGAATAAGATTGTTGTTAAGGTTGTTTATATCCTTAGGTTAACCATGACTGCAGTATGCCTTCTACTTTACCTTTATACATACAGTGTATCAGTTGGTCTCATGTTATGCCTGCGCACTCTTTGACCACTACAGACGTAAGTTACTGAAAAAGAGCAAATCCCAAATCTATGAAACAATGTGTACTTACTTCATTGATGACTAGCGTCGAATAATTCGTGGATTTTATAATTAGTTTGTAAATACTGTGTACAAAAACAAACGATAACTGAGGGAATTTAAATGTATTCTTAGTCAGTTGTTTATTATCTAGATTTTAAATATTTTTTACATATTTCAACTATTTTTTTATTCTGTTTCAGAACTATTTACGACTGGTGTATTGCTCTTTGTTTGAATGGTCCAACAACTGCAAGCCCTTACTTAGGTGAGTTTCTTATTTACCTTTTGATAAAAGTAGAATTATTAATACTTGTAATGTTTTCATCGTACAAATTAAACACAGAATTATCATTCATTTTCTTGGTAAAGTCATCTTCGAACTAAAATCAGTTTTCCGTTGACCGACATTGGCTAGCTAGCTTAAGTCAAACCCGAGGTTTCGTCTCCTTTTAAGATAAACCAAAGCGTTTTAACTCCTTTAGAATCCCAGGGATTATGTAAACTAAGCTGAGACTGTTAGTTTGTATTGAAGTATCCTTGTAGTCGCGGGGGAGCATTGATGACATTGACATAATTGCCGCGTCGAGTGTTTGCTTGATCGGATAAGTCGTGTATAGCGACACTATTGCTCTTCTTTAATCCTTTCACATAGTAACTATGATCAGTTAAAATCATTTATCAACATTTTATTAGATTTCTCGCTCAATGGCTTAATGAAAAATCTGTTGGGAAATGTAAAGGTCGTGCTTATCACCGAAACAACAATATTTCGTTGTTACAAGTATTGATTAGTATTACTGAAGCTTATAACTCGGACATGATTCCAGTGCTGGCGAGTTAGTGTCACTGCCCACAGGTTACACTGTGATCTAAGCAACTGTTCTTTATTTGCAGATCCCTTGGGCAAACGTCACGTTTCAGTCGGTACTGAGAGTCCTTGGGACCGACCTTTGTATTCAGTATGCGGGGTAAACTGCTGCTAGCTGGTGGCAAACCCACTGCCTGGACTCACAATACTAGTTATGTTGGTGTATCAAGAATCCACAGTGAAACCAGTCCTCCAGCCTTAGGACGTCGAAGGAAAGAAGATCGCGAATTTAAGGAAATATTAGGTGCCATAGAAAACATGCATCGTAAAGATATGCAATCGTTTACCACCAACCGAAAATATCTGGAGAAGTCCATGCTCGCATACAGTGAGCGGATGAGGGAACTTAACAAAGGGAGACGATCCCTTCCTGTTATCATCACACCAGCTTCCGGTGAGAAACCAGTCCTTCCAAAGAAATTTTCCAATACCATTCGACCGGATGTTGCATCTCCTGCATCAGACTTACTCGGAAGCTCTCGGGAATCTTTTATGTCTTCGAATGGTCATCTGCATTCTCCACTTCAC